GGTCTGCAACCTAGTCACTCCATGCCTCAGTTTCCCAGTTGTTATCTGGAGATAATAGTACTTTCCTGCTTTACTAGGCAATACTCAGCCTACAACATTGGAGTGTGGAGGGGCACCTAACATACTCCAATACCATGTAGCTCCCTACCAAACGCCTCTAAAAAAGGCATTCACCCCCAAGTGCTTCGGTTGGCATCCCAGCTACCAAGCAGTGAGGTAGCAAAGTGCTGAATGCTAGTAAGGTAAAGGAAGAGCCAACAAGGGTTCGGAGGGAAGGTCTACAGAGAATAATCAAGGGAATACATTCGAAGCCAAGATGGATGGAGTGAGTGGAGAGTAAGGAAATAAGATTAAATTAGAGATGCCCAAGTCTCCTGAGCCATTAACACAATGTCCTTTTAAAGAATATACATAATGCTTTTCTGCACCACTTCTCTTTAAAAGGTTCTTCTGGGAATCCTAATATCACCAAATCATCTTTCTCGAAGAGTCTGAGTATGTGTCTGAACGCTTAGTTTCAGTTTTGCAGTTGCCTGTAAACATCTTTTTTTAAGGGGATGTGGGAGAGGGTGTGCTTGTGACCTATTTCAAAATAATGCTTAAGAATTATTGCACCACGCAAGAAGTGTCAAAGTGGGCTTGATGCTAGATGTAAGGCAGGAGACAATCTGTGAAGTGCAGTTGTCTGTCAAAGTACCAAAACTAGCTACAAAGTAAACTGAATTGCAGTGTGTGGGGGCACAAGGAGTTTCCTGTAACCCTTTATAGCACTCTTAGTTTGCTTTAAAATAGTCAGATGGTGTGGAAGTTTGTTAGCTGATGCTGATTGTCAGTTGCAGAGTTAGAAACACCTGTAGCCCCTTTGCACCCTCTGCACACATTCTCCATTTAATGTTGGGCTTCTTGCTTTTGCTTGCCTTGGGATACAGTCCTGCAATTCACCTAGTTTTAGACTTCAGTCTTGGGCCCCTGGATACCAACACTAGGTTCTCAGTAGGTCCAGCTGTGCTCTGCACCTGCAGTCCAGTCAGTGGTACTGTGGTGACCAGGCAGCTTTCTTAAAACAAAACATTTTTGATGCTGTTGTATTCCTACTGTTAAGATTCAAGTAGGATCTTGGCTTAAGTTAGTGTTTCTCAACTCTCATGGGTGTTTCTGAACCTCTACAGGGGACATGAGAGGGAGGAATGAAAAAGCAGAAGAAAAAAAAGGGGAAATACCAAGGGAAGACAAATAAGAAAAAGAGATGTGTGAGAAATCAACTTTCTAGACTATTTCTTAAATAATTAGAGAGATTACAATAGTGGTTCTCAGCCTTTTTAGATTCAAGGCACTGCTCCACAACTTTTCTCAACTGGGGTGCCACTAAATTCATATCCACTGTTGTGCTGCCTCAGCTTCTCAGTGGTTCTCTACTGGAGTTCTCCTGTTGCTGCAGCCAAATGAAAGTGCCCCACACGTGCAGAGCCTGACCAGGAAATGACTGTGGCAGAAGCCGGTGTCCCTACCCACATGTCTATCTGAATAACTGATGCACCCCTTCAGGATCTGGCCCTGCATGCTCCTCTTGGCATGAAAGGCATGTGGGACAGTTCCCTGCAGTGACAGCCAGGAGATTTATCTGTGTGTTTCCTTTGTTTCTTCAGGTTGGTATTTGCCACAGCAGTGGTACCACCACCATGGCACCCTTGAAAGGGTCTTACAGCATCCACATTGAACCACTGGGTTAGTGTGGTGGTAGTGACTGTGTGTTACTTCTGTTATCAGGAGCTGGAGTGGTGCCAGTGCTAAGATGCACAGTTGATATCCCAGAGGTTGCAAGCTCACGGCATTGCCCTGTTGTGTTCCAATGAATTGCAAATGCTGCTAAATAACTTGTCACGAGGAAGTGAAAAAGGAAAGAACTGCTGTTATAGATAACACAGAATCACGGGGTACACTGCAACAGAACAGACTCTAAAGGGATATACAGCCCCAAATATTTTGAGAAATATTGCCCTAAGTATCCTACCCCTCTTTTCATGAACTTAGAGAGGCCTAGTTGCTTCATACACTCTACAGAGCCTGTCTCTGACAGTTAGTTCCTTGGGAGCATTATATGGACGTTTTTCCTCCCTGTTTCAAAAATTCTTGTTTTGTTGGCCTTGATAATACAATCTATGAAGCTGGTAATTTGACTGTGTTCTCTTTCCCTCTCCAAATGTTTTTTTTTAATGCGTGTTTTTTTTTTTCTATGTTGCATGAGCTTGGCAGATGGAGAGGCAAACTGTCATAATAGGTTGAATGGTCACAAAGTAGAGCTCCTGTTTATTTTGAAAAAGAAAATTGACATGCACATGTGGATGCATTCACCCTTCATTTCTGAACACAAGTTAAAAAAATTCATTAGGAAAAATGAATCCAGTGGGATTTCTTAAAATAGAGGATTTTTTAAAACATTCTCCTTTGTCAGATTAGCAGATGGGATTCCTTTTTGGGTTTTGGGTTGCAACAGTAGCAGCCATTCTTCAGCATTGTTTCTATTTTGGAAGATCTATACACACCTTGAGGAGATTATAGGCTGTAATTTCTCTGTCAATAAGTTTTTTTATAGTCTCTAAAATAAGCCTCTGTCTGTGAAATCTGCATCTAGTTTTTTTGTGTTTTGGGTAAAAGCTTCTCTGGGTAAAATGATTTTATTTACCAGGATGTAAATGTTTAAAGGTATTGCTATTGTATGTCATGCTTCGGCTTAGTACTGTATATAAAAACGGGTGCAATCCACTTTTCAAAATCTCTTAGAATCCACATTTGGTGTAAAGCTAGTTTGACAGGAACTATGGATGCAGGACACTATACCACAATAAAATGCCCAGTTACAAACCGCCTCCACAAGGAATGCATAAATCTTTACCTATTCCAGATTCTGGAAACAAGATAGTTAATGAAACTCCTAAGTAAAGTGAAAATGGTAATTATTAGAATTTTCAAACATTGTGAGACTCCTATTACAAAGGGGTGTTGGGATATTGCATGCCCAGATGGTAAGTGTATGGTAAGATTCTTTATTCTCGGTTTGCTAAATGATCAGAGATTGCCAAAGAGAGGGCGCAGACAACCATATGCAGCCCTTCTCTTAGAAAAATACAGAAATGCTGACCTTCCTCTCCCTCCCTCCCTCCCTCCCTCCCCTTCTGCCAAATGCCCACTAGGCAATTTCCAGACGCCAGACGGGAAGTCAGACTCTGATCTGTGTGTGGCAACTTGATCTCCCTCCCAGAGAGGATATCCAGTGGTGCACTCATTTGGTCCCTTAGGACAAGGATAGCTTTGTTTTATCCTACTATTCAGCTGCTCCAGTGGGACTTGATTTGCCATTGCTTTCCTGCTTCCACTTCAAAAAGTTGGATCTAGATTTGTCACGAATTTGAATCTTGACATAGAACAAGGTTTTGGCTTTGTAACTTAACACAACCCTGATTTAAGTTCCAATACATTACTGAAAATAATTTAGTAATGCTTTTTAAAATAGGTTTTTCTTAAAATGGACTCTTCTTTTCTCTCTACATCCAAAGGGAAATTTTTGTATCTGCGGTGGAAAATGGTTGGTGTGGGGGTGAGTGTGGGTGTGTGTGTGGTAATGACAGCATGTGATAAACCTCCATCCCAAATTGCAAGACAAAATTTAAGTAACAGCCTTATGTTAGACCATGTTTCTGAACCTTCATTAAACTTTTGTATGGAGGAAATCCTTTAAACAAGTGATTAGAGGGTTGAATGGACAAGTGCTGTTAACACTTTTCCCACTCAGTTTTCGGACTGACTGGTGTTTGCTACTGTAATCTTTCCCACATTTTAAGCTCTCGAGGGCACTTTTCCAATTTAACAGCTTTTATAGTGAAACTGGGCTTGGTGGGTTTGGTATCACATTGCTTACTCCAGAATGTTCAGTGCTTGGTCAGACAGTTGGGTTAAGCCTGGTGCTGCAACACTGAGAAACAACTGTGGATGAAGTTGACCTCTGTAGAGTACAAATAGCAGCCCAGAAAAAGGAACCTTGCAATGCAAATCAAAGCTTTCGTAACTGTGTGACCGTTGTCCTGACCAAAATAAAAATAATTATGCAAACTTGATAAAATAGAGAAACGTAAAATTTGACAGTGATAGAACAGATGGCACAGCTGAACAACAGACCTTCCCTGCACTGTTTTTTCTGAACATATTCATAAAACCTTGTAAAACTGATTGGGGTAGGAAAATAATAAATCATGAGTACACAAAGTACAAATGCTGCTTGAGCCTGGGGACAGATGGAAATGTGAAAGAGGTGGTGACTTTTGATGCAGAATTGGTTCTCCATTGATGCAGATGTTCCAGATTCAAATTTGATCAAACATTTTTCTTGTTTGGAGGGTGGTCTTCTTTTGCCATTTGAAAGAAAGAATTAATAATAAATAAAAAACAATGCTAAGACCACAAGTAGTTTGCCAGTGGATGTAGAAGCCAGTGTGATAATTGAGCCTTTTTTTAAACTGACCTGACTTTACCTGTTCTTCCCTTCTTCTTTGCAGGCATTGCTCTATAGAAGATGCACTATTACCGATACTCTAATGCAGAAGTCAGCTGTTGGTACAAATACCTGCTCTTCAGTTACAACATAATCTTCTGGGTGAGTTCAAGACAAATCTTGTCCTTCTGTGTAATGCAAGGTCTTTAACCTGGCCATGTACAGACAGTGGTTGGTATGGAATTTTGTACTATGCCCAACCATATTTTCTATATTTCAGATTTTACATTGGTGGCAGACAGCTGTCCAGATGTTTTATTATTGCTGATTTGCATTGTCATAATGTAGCCATCCTGATACAAATTGGAGAGAAACAACATTTTTGTTCAAGGGAACTTACGTGTTTGGTCACGCAGTAAATCAGCATACTGTCTAGTCTCTAAACCTCAGATATCTTATCTACAGATGAATTGCAACAGAAAAAAACTAGACCTGTGGACTTCTCCTGCTTTGGTAGTTTAATCTGCAAAATTGGGCTGGATAGCTGAATAGTCTTTTCTCAACATGCTGCTGCGTTTACTGCTGCTCTAGGCTGGAACCATTAAACTTACTGTGCAGGAATGGTAAATACTTAGTATATAGAAATTATTGAAGCTTTCTTCAGCTTTTCAGTATGAAGAAAGTTATCTAACTTAGTCTCAGTTCATTTGTTTTTCAAGTAATGTAGACTGACTTGACTGATGCTAATTCAAACAAGGTCCATAGAAGGACACAGAAGATGGCATCAGACCCTTATTGTCGTACTCTGCTACGTTTACATTAAGATAAGGTATGCCCCTTAAAACACCTATGGTTGCAAGTTGTGAGAATATCACTTGAACTCAAAGTTTTCCTAGAGAACCTCAAAATAGGCAGGAGTTGCTGATCTATATGGTATTAGGTATGTGTTGATGACCTTGGAGATGATGAAAAAGGAATGCTGTGACTATTTGTGCCAGTGTATATGAAAAACTTAAGTCCATCAGTCACTGAAATAAATGCTTGGTATAACCCCATTGAACTTTTCCTTGAATGGATATCATTAAAATTATTCCTGTAACTGGTAGAATGGTTTTATTCTGTGTTGTGACTGAGCAGAGTTTCACTGGATCAAACTTAAATATTGAATTTTTGCAGGGAAAGAGACAACTTATTTTGTTTAAAGTTGATAACATGGCATTAGGTACCACACATAAATTATCATATTTCCATTGAAGCTACTGGAGCTAAATGGATTTTTAGATTAACCTCATCAGTCTGTGATAGAAATTTTAGAACTTCTGGATTTGTTTTAGAAACAGATCTGATATTTTGATATATCTCAAGATGAAGTTTAATGAAGAATAGTGGAGAAAGGGGGATTTAAACTTCCATGATTGTTCTTTGCAAGGTTACTGCTTGCATTTTCAATAAGTTTGTTAATAAGTCTCAGAGCTTGGTCTAATCTTTTATTAGCCCAACAAGATTTTTGCAAAAATATTTTTTTAATTGAAAGCTTTTGGGCACAGACAGCCTTCATCAGGCATTGGAGAAAAGACTGTATAAGTTCTCCTGGGTAAAAATGAAAGTTCATATTTCATAGGATTTCACAGAAGAGTCAATAGATGGAAAACTCCTCTGGGCAGTTGGTTCGTAGCTGGTATGGAGCAAATTACCTTGAAACAAAGGCAGGAGCAGTGTCTCAGGTTTCAGGTAGTCAATTGCTTCCTGCTTGGGAAAATATGAAGATTTCATTTTAAAAATTGGCTAAAATTCGATATCTTCCGTGTGTCAGGTATCGAGGTTGTAGCCATATTGGTCTAAAGGAAGAAGCAATCAGGGCTCATAGTACTGAGATAATATTATTTATTAGACCAACAAGATTTTTGTTAAAAAAAACCCAAAAAAACAAAAAAACTTTAATTGCAAGCTTTCGGGCACAAACACCCTTCATCAGGCATTGGAGAAGAGATTGTAAAAGTTCTCCTGGGTAGAAATGAAAGTTCATATTAATTATAGGTTGTCATTTTAAAGAGAAAATAGATTTCTTAACTTTTAAAACTTGCATTGAAAGCTAATAAACTGTTTTGGTAACACAAACCATATCTATAGCTAGATCCCTCTTAAGAAGACATCTACTTGTTTTACAACAGCTTCTTTAATATAAGGCAAGCTGTGACTGTATTTGTGCATAATTAGACTTTTTTGGTTGTGTCTGGGTCAGCCTGAAACTGAATCTCTCTCTTGTGTTCTCTCCCCCACTTTTTTGGTTAATTGGAAAAAAATCTATTATGGGTTAAGTGAAACACTAACTTTGAGGTCATGCATTTTTTTTTTTTTTTTAGTAAAGGAAAATATCGTGTTTCTGTGGGTTCTGGGAACCATTAAGGAAGGAGGAATCAATAGTGATGCTTCCTTTTTACCTTGGTGATTAGGGCACTCTCTCTGATGAGGTACTTGTCATCTTCATTCAGAACAGGGATTTACACTGAGGTTTCCTACTCACCAGAAGAGTTCCCTAATTTCAGATGCATTTTTCTGTGATGAAGTGATCTTAATACTGTAAGAGGAGTTCAGTTATTTTATGAGCCTGAGGGTTGTATGTTGGAAGGGCATGTGCAGGGTTTGCCTCTCTTGTGTGCTGCTGGTGGTAGCAAGAACCCTGGGAACAGAACAAGCAACATTTCATGCATCTGTATTAGCTGCCTGATATTCTTGTCTTCTGTGTGTGCTTGAGGTGAGTCTTCATGATACCTGCTCCTACATTGTTCAGACATTGACTTCAGCTGCCATGACTCAAGAATCCTTTCAACTGCCACCAATCAATGACACTTTTAATGCAGAATTAACTGCACATGCCTAACAAGAAAATAAAGGGTGATAAAGGAGAAAATTAAAATGTCTGTCATGCATGCACTGCTGGAATCCATATCTATAGGAGTTAAAGCTTGTCAAGTTTAAAACAGTAAGGTAACTTTAACTCTTTATAGGAAATGTTTTGTTTTCAAATATGTCCTTGAAAACTAAATGCCAGTCATAAACTTGCATGAAAGTGTTCTCTTCCCCCTTTTGGGAACATGTCCAGAATTTCTGCATTAAACTTCTCAAGATTTCCAAGATGACTAAGAAGCCTGCGATGAAGAAAGGGGGAGAGGGATAGGGAATCCTTAGCACTTCTCTCCTTTTCCCTCTCTCCTATCCCCTAGTAGAAGCAGCCAGGCTGTAGTATGCAGAGTTGTGCAGAGACTCTTTCAACTTGCACCTAAACATGCACGTTTTACTTTCACACTTATCAAAAATACCACACTGTCAAAATTTCCTGCCACTGCTTTGTCTGGTGTCTGTGGCTATTCAGAAAATGAGATAAGTTTTTTGCACGGTGTTTTCTGTTTCAGTTTTTTGTTTTTTAAATATTAGCCATAGACCCTTTAACTAGGTCTTGCCCTTTTCTTTGTATTGATTCTGTCCTTCTGATTGTTTATCATTCAGTGTTTTGATATGGACTGCATTTGAACAACATAATACAAGTACGATTTCTTTTTAAAACAACTACAATTTTAATACTGGCAGGCCTAGAATGTAACCATAGATTTTTCCAAAAAAACCACAAAAACGTGTTCCAGGCCAGACTAGCCAGATCAGGTCTGAATCCTTTGATTTAAGCAAAGCTCAATCGTTCAAACACTATATGTGGCACTGCAACCAGCAAGTATACTTCACCCCAGACTTTTTAGCGTGGGGCTTTGGATACTTCCAAATCCATTGGCAGGCATCCTGTGTCTAGGCCCTAGCCTGGAGTCTTGAGGTTCAGATGTCCCCAAGTGTTGCTTGCCTTCAGCCAATGGCCACAGGTGCAAGCTAGGGAGGAGTCCCCAATTTCCATAAAGCAGGCATATAGCTGAGATCTTCCCACTGGAAATTGGCCAGTGGGAAGCTAACTATGAGGCTCCTGTATGGAGTTCTGTCTACATTTAGACTGGCGTGAATCCTCCACTACTCACTGCCATTTAAATCCATTTGTCTCGGATATCAGACCAGTGCAGTGACTACACTTGATCTTAGCCGACAAGAGGCTGAGAAGCAGAAATACTCTGTAAACCATGGTTCCTTCAGGTAATGGTTGTAAGAGTGGCAGGTTGCTTATGTAGGTTGAGTGATTTCAGTAAGAAACACAGGACTCCTGATTCCATCACTTTTGGATGTAGTCTCTCTCCACTCTTCCTTTTTCTATTCCTCTAAGCAGGAAATAGTGTGGAAGTGCATAACAATATTTTTCCTTCAAACCACATGTATCTAAAAATATTTTTGGTCAGCAAAGCTAGCTCCTCTCATGGACAGAGAAAATCTGCATCTCTGGAAGGGGAACAGCAAATTACTGTTGTTTCTCTAATTGCCTTGAAAGCCAACAAAAGGCATTTGTGTGCCCCTTTGAGGGCTGGTCTAGAACACATACTGAGGCCAAGAATGCTTCTGAAGCAGTATTATTGTGTCCTGTTACCATTGCAGGGCTGTGATTGAATGCTGTGAGCACCCTATGTGGTGAGTAATAAATCAAACTCGATAGTCAAAGTTTTACTAAAATATAAGTAAATGGTGTGTGTGTGTGTATATGTGTGTGTGTGTTTATATATATATGAGAGAGAGAGTAAGTAAATGGGTTTGAGAGAGAGATTCTGTCTATTCATTGATCAGTTAGTTGTTTTATATCTATACTAGCCAATTGTCCGTCAAGAATGATGTGGGGGGTGCTGGGATGGAGTGCCATCACCTAACACCCCATGTTGCCACTGTTCTGCCTCTTACAAGGGGCGGGGTGGGGGACTCGAGACCAGTGCTGCTGGGCCCGGCTCTCCCACCCCCTGTCCGGTCCTGGTGTGACTTTGGAATCATGGTGGCACTCCCCCATGCTTGGAGCACTCTGATTGGCTGTTTCCGTCAGCCAATCAGAGTGTGAATAAAGTGTGATGGCTGGACAGACGGACAGACTTAGGCTTTTATAATATTAAAATAATTTAATGCTTTTGGGAGAAAAAAATGTCCAAAATGGAATTTATTTTTTCAGAAGGGAAGGTAAAAAGCAACCTGACAGTTTTATGGATCTTTAAGCCCTCTCACAGAAAACATTCGGTTGCTTACTGAAGAGG